AAGAAAGGTTGAAGGTATTCGCAATCAGTACTAATCAACTCTATAATCGTGCAGTCAATTTAGGTTCTCTCGTTTTTCTCAAATGCCACGTAATAAACACACACGGCATTTACTGACTGAACTTAATTTGCTGCATTTTTCAGTCAGAATGGAGCATGTATACTTTATATCATTAAGTTTGTATTCATTTCATGCTAATCAACGAGTTTAACTCATTTTCCTCATAATAAGTTAGAATGTTAACTCTATTGAGGATATCCGTTCGTTAGGTTATACGCAATCTTAGCATGCTTCACCCTTAAACGCGCACGCGTGATTTGTAATGTGAACGTGATTAATACTTTGAAAATTTTGTTTTATTTTCAACAAATTGGTAGCATAGCGTACGGATCATACTGATGACGGCTTGCTTCATGGGGTCATACATCTACATTCGTTATGTGACACCAAGACGAAAAGAACGTCAGTACTACAAATTGATGCGTCGACTACAGCCGCTCAGTGAGCTCGGTATCCAACAACTTCCCAGTACGTTTTGCATTCACTGAGTGATCGGGTGATGTTTGATATTGTTGAATAATTAATTGTGCATTGGTGTCTGGAATGAGATCCTCATTATGCCAGTTGTTTCTAATTTTTTTGGTCATATATACCAAATGGATTGATCAAACAGATCGATAACAGAAAAGCTTGGTGCAGGAAGCCGTCAATCCTGTACCTGTGTACGGTGGTTTTGATTATTAACATGTAAAACAAAATTGATGTATTAACTACTGGCTAGTGTTTAAGTGATCAGAAGGGACGAACAAATTTTCAGAAATGGACAAACCTTTGGGTTTGCATGGAACGCTGCAACAATACTACCTAATGGTAAATTAAAGATTGCATGGCTGTTAAACGATTATTTGCGTATTCCGTTTGTGTTTCTATTCAAATTTTTTCTTCTATTAAGAATCTATTCAACGGACAACGGAAAAGGTGCTGGATTTTGTACGTGTTCGTTCTCGATCATCGGTAAGTGTTGACCCGATCCGCTCATTCGTAAATGTCAAAAAAATGTACATATTTGCCCTCTTTTTTGATAAGATAATTATTGGATTATAGGTGGTATAATGTGAAGTACTAGACAGTGAAACACAGTGAAACGGAGTACAATAGTCAATTCCAAACAACTCCAACTAATCACTTCGTACAGTTTTGTAGCCTCATCTCCAGGTCATCCATTTATTTTCCATAATTTTTTCCACCCTGCACGGGTAACCAAAACTCAGACGGGGGTGGACTATACAACTAATTTTATGAGACACCTTTTATAATCAGCTGAGTCTATCCATCCGATGTGTTTGGGGGATGATTGAACGATGTGTCAAATGTTGACCAATAGAATCAAAAACAAATCAACACTCTTGTACATATGTTGTGTCTGTTATGGGTTAATATCATACTGATTCCCGTGAGTAAATCTCAGAACGCTTAGCAATGAGAGTAAAAAATTTGATGAGGGTCACGGTGTCACTCGAGTACGATCAATACCTTTAAATATATGTCACTTACTTGGGAATAGCATTGTCATGGGAAAATCAAATAAAATCAAATCAAAATTTAGATTACTAGAAACGGTTTCATCACCAGATCGGAAATTGGATTCATCTACTCATTCGACGGTCGAGATTACTCGTGATGCGGTGTGTGTGTATGTGCGACGGGTCAGGGAAACTTTAGCACTGGCACCAACTATTTTTGAGCACACATACGGGGTTGTGCAGACGAGTGTCCACCGCTTCTGCTGTGGCTAGCATCCCACAGCGAACCTGCCTCGATAATAGCCCACGAACTTCATACGGGGACGGAAAGCCTCGGTCATGATTTGTTTAAGCAAGACACAAGACAACCTCATTCCCAAGTGATGATATATATGTATACCTGGCGACGTATTGGCACGAATACGAAAAACTGAACACGAGCTTGTTCATTAATCCATTGTCTTGTTTGAAATGCGCTCTATGGGACTATGTTCACGATATACATCGGCTTCAAACTTTTTCTGCTAATATTTCCATGCCCGATAAGTCATAACTGACCTTCATTTATGGGCGTATCCAATAGGACCATCATATATTGACTCTTAAAGGAGTTTCAACATCTGATGACCCGGAGCCATCGTTCAAGATTATATTAGCAATGTCTAGGAGTCACGGGAAAGTATTATTATTGCACCCCAGGCGATAAGAAAAAACAGTCAGAAACTCAGCCCACTATCCGTCATTAGTATTCATAGCGCTAAATCCGGAATAACTTTTTCAAACTTTTGTGTTCCAATGAAATAATTCACTAGTATATTTCACTAATATATTTCGCACGGCAGGGTACAACATAATAACCGAATGTCCTGAATACCTTTCCCTCTTGAAATCCTAACTTCATCGTACCCTGATTACTCGTTGAAAATGAATATATTCAGTTGCGGTTTAAATAAAGGTACAACATGTTTTAATTTATTAATTACCGCGCGCTTGTACCGCACCAGCCCAAACAAATTATGTCAGTGATACCTTTTATATTGTTCAGTCAGAGGGAACAAAATGCGTTCACTTTTAGATAACAGATAGACCGAAAACATCCATTCAGTTCTAATCAGGTCGGGAACCAGCGGAACTCTCAAAGTTCAATGACTTGAATGCAAAACGCTTGTTTATTTCTGAATTCTCCTCACAACACATATGTGACCAGCTATTGTTTTACATCATTGAATCGAATTCTCTCTAATCAATTCTGTTCCCGATTGCAGTAAGAACCACAATAGGAAATGTAACTTTTTACATCAATTTCTTTTCTACACCTCTATCCCCCAGGAAGGTGAATATAGCGACGCGATCGCATTTGGTTACCATCTGACAAAGCTGTTCTTCACCGGTTCTCTGTCAATTCTCGGTCGTTTGTTTGTCTGCCGTGGGCTATCCGATCACAACGATGAACGTACCAAAGTGGCCATCAAGGACTTTTCATTTCTCGTAAGCGGTCCTGAGTGGATTGATGTACCAGATTCCGATGGCTGTGCGATAGCAGAGAGAAGAAATTCCCACGTTTCGTCCGGTTGACATACCCGCCTGATAATATTTTTGTTTGGTCGGTTCTAGGATGTTATTAGAGTGGGTATTGATTTCCTGCAGTAATGAAAACTTAATTAATTTTATCGAGCAGAATGCAACAACCAACAGCTCACCGCAGTTCCTCTTTCGGAGCAAAATTTATCTAGGTTTGGTTTGTCGAACAGTGGTGGTAAATTCCTCTTAAAAACGTATATATTAGATCCTGTATTTTAATAAGGATTCATCTGAACAATATCACCAGTGATGACACATTGAATGCAGTACTGCACAGTCAAACGAACGCATCTGAGAACAGCGCTGGAGTCGGTTATGTAACAGCAGTTTGCAGCGGATACTCGGTGTGGTTTATGACATACTTTAGAACGGTGGTGGTTTAGTGGTGACGTTCATCAAAATGTTGACCCGGAGGTCCCAAGTTCGAACCAATACATCACTTCCCATCTCTTCTAAATCTGTATTTTCCCGGGCAACCTTTGTATGGTGGTGGTCCCCTACCTGAAAGTGGATTGTGCATTTGTATATTCAGAAGTTGAATGATAAAGCGATCGGTCCCTATCTGCGGGATGTTAAACTACGTATGCATGTCACCTACACTCTTGCTCAATGCTTGTTCTATCACTTGAGCTGGGTTTCAATGTTCACGGCTCTGATCTGTTCACATTTGCTGGCCTAAACAACATAGACTGGTATATGGAGTAAATTATACCTTTTTCAGTTTAAGATGTCCGAAATTCAATTTAGGATGTACGAAATCCGCTTTAAGATGTCGCAATATGAATTTAAGATGTTCGAGTATCAATTTAAGATGTAATGTTGCTATTTTTTCACTCTGTACTGTGCAAGGTATTATCCACATAGCAACATGACATCTTAAATTGATACTCGGACAACTTAATTTCATATTGTGACATCTTAAATTGGATTTAAGACGTCTTAAACTGAAAAAGGTATAGACAAATATATAGGTATTTAGTGTTTCAGAGATGTGAACGAGGACTGAACACGACGAAGTTTGCTACACAGGACCCATGTCGTCGTCGATTTTCCGGCAAGAAAACGCATCCCAGAGGTTGGTCACCCACCCTCCGTGTGACCTTTTAGTATTCCCATATGTCAAGCGCATAATGCGTGGAATCCAATACCTGTAACCAACAACTGCTGTGGAGGCCTTTATTGAACTAGTTGAGGGGTTACCGGTTTCGGCATGGTCGAGCTGTTTCACCAAATGGTTAGAACGCATAAAACTGTGTGGATGAACGCTGGTGTGGAAAAGATCGAGAAAATGTAATGCTTATTTTTGTCTAACAAATAAAAATTTTCATGTGAGTAATGGAGGATTTGGTTTAATTTCAAATGGAAATTCTTCGTGTATATGGCAAATGAAGCGTGAACTGAAAAACTCGGAAGCACTGGACAGCTGTTTCGACCTGGTTGGGTCTCATCAGCCATACGAACCCATCGACGCAACTGGGGATCGAACCTGGGACTTCATGGGCAGAACGCAAGCATCCTACCCTCCGTTTGATCAAATAAACTTGCCCGCTACTCTATGCTGTGATAACTCTTTTTCCTCCTCCCGTTTCATGACAGGTCAATCGAGGAGAAATTATGGGCGTTCTCGGCCCAAGCGGGTCGGGAAAATCTACATTGATGAATTGTTTGGCTACAGTCATACAACAAGACAGAGGACAAGTAAGTTTGCACACCGGTTGCGTCTTTGAAAGGAAGTGGTGTCGAGAAGGACATAATCTTACACCCCATTTTAATTTCCAATGAATCTGTTGCTGCATCGTGGCTCAGTACGTCAACCATTGGATCCGAACAAAATTTGTCTCATGATTTTGAACACTCCTAAAGTGGGATGATTCACACAGTAATGATATTCAAGCTTCCTCCGCGAGTGACTTCAGGTTCGAGCCCGGGATATAATTCGGTGAATTGTACCCACTAAACAATCGTCATTCGTTGATACTGAATTAGTTGAGGGAAAACGGAACACCTTTGTACTGACGCAGCACTCCCGGTGTGGTTGTCATTGTGAAGTGATGGTTCGGCCTATTGATAACTGAAAAGTGTAGCTCATCGATCAAATATAAGTTACCTAGTACTGCTAGTCGCTCTGTGCAACAGTAAAGTTCCACTACTACTGCTAAGTAAAGCATTTTACACCCCAGTTGTTAATTATTGTTGTTGTGTTTTATACCGACTGAAAGCCAGATTTCATACAACTATTCGTGAATCACTTGTGACCCACATCCCGCACTGCAATCTGACCGCTAGGCTGGAGTGGTGAACAACCATACCAATGAGCTTGTCCCGAATCAGAAAGCGGTAGAACAGGGCGTGATCGGGTTCTGTCCACAGTACAATCCGATTTGGCCCAATCTGACAGTTCGAGAACATTTGGTGATCTATTCGGTGATGCGTGATCTGAAACAAAGTGCAATTGGTGCCCACGTGAACGAGTGAGTGATAGATTATCGTTTCCTTTGTTCTCTCTCTAAATGATACGAGTTCCGTAGAGCGTGACACATCCAGCTCGATGGGGACTAGCTTTGACGAAATGAGTGTTAATTCGCTTATTCATTCATTATCCGATTTCTAACGGCAAATTTGAAACCTACTTGCTTAGATTAATTATTTTGAAATCACGTTTTGCCGACTTAAGGTGGAACTCCCGATTAACTGTGTACTTGATTTGACCTTTTAATTATAATCCAATCAATGACTTGAGTAAACCATCCTATTAAAGTCACCCATGTGCATGAAACATCACACTCCATCGGGATAAACTCTTATCTTGCTGGCCATTTCTCTCGAACAGTAGATTATGCCATGTGAAAGGCCTTACCAAGCGAATTAACTTGTAGAACTTGCAATGCATTCAAAATGACTATTCAAGTCAAGTCAAGAAGAGCTTTATGTACCCAAGGGGTGAATTTTCAGCAGTTTGCGCTTTTTACGGTGGATAGATAAAACTAGTTGCAAATAGAAAAAGACAGTATATAACATTTCAAACCCTAGGGAATGAGAGACAGATTAGTCCAAGATTTTATCCCCGAGGTGGGTGAGAATATTCAGAAGGTTAACCAGTAACCGAGCTAAGCATGGAATTACACACATTCTAAATGTGGAAGTACACGCAGGAAGGATTTGATATTTGGAGCGAGTTTGGGGATTTGAAAGGGTTTTCACGATATCTTGATGCAGACCGTGCTCTTGATCACGTGTTATCCTGTCAATGAATGTATTTCAAGCTTCAAGATGCTTGGAAATAAAGAAATCAACCAAAACGACTATCAACTTTACTGTAGCGGGATAAAAGTTCAAGGGATCTCGAAAATAAAGTGAACTCTATAGAGTGAATCTTCTCATTCATCGAAATGTTGCAATAGTGAACCTCATGCTGCACGCGCTGGTCGTTATCCAGTTTTGAGTGTTGTGATGAATGCCCTGTGACGTGTGTATGTATGTGTGTACAGACCACAACCTAGGGGTGTCAGCTCGATTCATCCAAACACCAGCTTTCCGTGAATTACCGGTTTAGAAAATCGCTTTACTTTTGTGCGAGTCAGATTTTTATTTTCCTTCTATTTATGCCTAATAAACTCGTTTGATTTGTCCTGGGTGACTTGGCAGTAATGAGTCTAGAGCAGATGATAAAAGATTTTGTAGTGATCAAATCCTTCCATGAAATTGTATGAATGTTGCCTATTGTTTCATTACAATTTGTATTTTATTATTTTTATTTATTTTTTATAACTTGTGCAAGCTTATGGACTAATCCAAACATTTTTCGTCCAAGTTGATTGCACATGATGATGACCGTCGACCGTGTAGCTCAGGGCCAAGGATGTCAGCTCTCAGCCCGATAGATCGCGGTTTGAGTCCTGACAGGGAAACAAATACTGCACCGTGCTACTCGGTCCCAAATAGGACGAGACAGGTGTCTAGTGCTCTTTGTCGGTCATTGCAAAGAATTCTGTTGCATATTTTTGCATATCTTCTCATGTGAACAGAAGTGTTTTTCAATTGCGAAATGGACCCTATTCGAATGTGATACCACGTGAGGGTTATAAGTCAAAGTACGACGAGTCATGAAGTTTTCCAAAGCTTCTCGCACACAACCAAGCAACGACTAGTTTTGGCTGAAAGATACATGTTCCTAGGAGGTCCGTTTCTTGGCACGACTGATATACCGGTACGAGTTGACGTATGTTTGCATCAAAGCACCAAGGTTATAAGTGCCAAAGTGCCCAGCGAAGTCAAAAAGAACAACAGGAAGACCGGATTGACAAGTGCCAGTATGCAGTCTGTGTAAAACAATGTCCTCATGAATCAATCATAGTGTGCCAGTGTGAAAATACGATTCGATTCGGGAGAACAAGTATCGTGGGGCAAATGTCAAACATTTTCAATCTTCTCCGCTAGACCAGTCATCCTACAACGTAACTTGAATAACTCTTTGATTTTAAAAAGGATAAAAAGTATTAGGGAAGCGGAAACGACTAAACAGTATTATTTGAGAACCCAAAACTCCAGTATATTGATTGATTTGTGTGTGTGTGTGTGTGTGTGTGTGTGTGTGGTTCTATGGCACGAAATTTGCTCATGGCTGTTTCCCCTAGGTGACAATAATAAAGGAGCTACGGAAGTTATGACCGGGTGCTTTATAACACACGCGGGGGATTGCACTAGCAAAGACGGCGGATTCCGGTGTGTGTGTGTATTTGTGGATCGGAGAGCGAGTAGGTGAGGGGTTGTGGTGAGTAAGGAGGATGGAAACTATACGCATTATGCCTAATAGCAGATACCGGTACGCAAAGTGGAATTCATGTATTTACTTTGTTAGCTTCAATCTCCCAGGTTATGATGGATGTGCAAGTTCTGAATTGTTTTACTATACTTGGTGGCTCTTTGGGGCCTGAGGGGAGGGAGGCTGAGATGTACAACTTCGTTGATGGTACTCATAAACTATAGTTCCGGGTANTGTGTGTGTGTGTGTGTGTGTGTGTGTGTGTGTGTGTGTGTGTGTGTGTGTGTGTGTGTGAATCGGTGAGCGAGTGGGTGAGTGATTGTGGTGAATAAGGGGGATGGAAACTACGCACTATGCCCAATAACGGATACCGGTACGCAAAGTGAACTTCATATATTTGTTTTAATACCTCAGGTTGTGATGGGTGTGCAAATTCTTAATGGTTTTACTAAACCTGGTAGCTCTTTAGGGTCGGGGGGAGGGAGGCTGAGATGTACAACTTCGTAGATGGTACTCATAAACTATAGTTCCGGGTAACTGCGTGAGTGCAGAAACCCCGGTGGTAAGAGGGAGACCGGGGGCTGATGATGATAAGGGCAATACGTGTGTGGGCTTTGAAGATCGAAAGTTTGTCATTGTGTGCAAACCAAAGAGAGAGAGAGAGAGCAGAAGAGGAAGAAAATGTATAGGCTGCGGTGACCTGGAGTGCCTGGTTGCGCATTGGATAGAGGTCAGTTGTAACCCTGCACGTCCCGATTGTATATTGCCAGTCACATTTGTTGACTTGATCCCTACATCATATGCAAATCGAACAGAAGTGCGCATAGAGATCGTTCGACTAACGAACCGTTGAACGAACAAGCCAGATGCAACTATCCGCAAAATGTTATTTTTCCCTTGTTTTTAGCAAGTTTTATTCAATGCAAAAATTACAAAATAAGTTTCATAAACAGGTAAATAACAAACCACAGAGTTGAAAGGTAGTGCAACCAATTCGACTGAGTTAGTGGTGATTCTGTGGTTCGAGCAGAGCACCTGCGGATGCATGTGATAGGGACTGACAACGCTTCAGCATTGATAATTCCTAAAGCCGAAGTATTACAGGAATATGATGTAAACCGGAGTGACATTCTGATCGGTCTTCGCACTCGATAGTCAACGAGTCGATAAAATTCTCTTTCCTTTTCAAGTTATCAAAATTTTTTATTTTATCACCTATAATCAATGAGTTGCATTCCCAAGTATCATACTTGCGCATTTTCGGAAGTCTCGTAATGCGGCTGCTTTAACCGGTTCAGTTCTTTTCGTACATGCACCTTCGCGCAGCGGTTTTATAATTTTACTTTGAAATCGGCAAGCCGTAACGAACAGGCCTGGCAAATGGTGACAGATAAAATTAGTCGTGTTACACTAATCTTCTCCGGTGGAACTGGCATTGACGAAAACATTGTACTTCAGGTTTGTAAAGTGGATAAAAGTGTTTGATAATTATAGTCAGGAAATAGAAAAAAGAAACGCTATGACTAAATATTTACTTTTGCACACGCTTTGTATATTTTTGTTCAATTTCTTCGCCCGCTCCTCAGACAAGCCCATTAGCTCTCCGTTTCACCATTAGTCATTACTCTCAATCATCAATGAAGTTTAACTTGTCGTATTTCGTTTCACGATGATAATTGTTTTAACACTTTCCTTGTGAGTAGAAACGGTAGAGTAACCTTGCAGATCTGTCTTATGGATTTGGAACAGTTAATGTTCTAATACCTAGTCTGTTTTCTTTCAAAAGATTGATGCAGTTGGTGAATCTAGAAGGATATCGAGATACATACGCTGGATCTTTATCCGGTGGATGTAAAAGACGTGTGAGTTATTCATTGTTTGTTTGTTTATTTGTTAAAATTGGCTACGTCATCACTGACTTCCTCGCGTTAACGTTTTGGGGACCACACCCGCTTCTTCATCCGAAGATGCTCTTCTTCTGGTATCGTTTGGAACACCAATTCTTGTGCTTCCTTCGCCGCGTATTTCGATAGAGCATTTCAGTGGTTGGATGGCTCTTCACAGTAGACGTAGTGATAGTAGAACACTGGGAAAATATGCTTTCGAATTCTGTGGCTGTGTCTTCGTACTCCTCTTTCTGCTCCGATTTACAACCACCGTGGAGGTCAGGGGCACAGTTTTCTTCAACCAATCCTGAGGAAATCTAGACTACGGTGCGTTCAGAAGAATAGGCAGAGAACGTCCCGGTGTCTCCGTAGTCCACAAGCCATTCAGTTAGAAACCGTTTCCACCGTCTGTGATTTCCGAATCGACCGTATTCCGTAATACAATCTTTAACCAATGTGTAATACAAAGAGCAATTTGAAAACCTCCAATAATGGGAACTCAAATGCTCTTATCACTTAGCATCACCAGCATTTGGCGAGTTTGAAAAATGTTTCACAAGCAGACTATAAAGTTGATCCAACAAGTGAATCATCTTAATATGGAGTCGTTGAGAGGGTACGTTTCCTACCTGTTGGACAATCCAATGCACACTGCCGTATATTTACTTGAATTATTGGACAGCATACAGTATGTGGTCCTCTTGGTGATAGTGCATCAAACTCCGGTTGCAGCACGTCTCTGTATTCCTCTGCTCCGATTACCCTTCACAGTTTCATTTCACTGGCGCATTTGAAACACCCAGAATCAAACCTCTGTGGTTGTTCTT